TTTATGCGATATGAACATACCTGTATACGATATGAACATACATTTATACGATATGAACATACCTTTATACGATATGAACATACCTTTATACGATATGAACATACCTTTATACGATATGAACATACTTTTATACGATATGAACATACCTGTATACGATATGAACATACCTGAATACGATATGAACATACCTGTATACGATATGAATGTACCTTTATGCGATATGAACATACCTTTATACGATATGAACATAGCTGTATACGATATGAACATACCTGAATACGATATGAACATACCTGTATACGATATGAATGTACCTTTATGCGATATGAACATACCTTTATACGATATGAACATACCTTTATACGATATGAACATACCTTTATACGATATGAACATACCTTTATACGATATGAACATACCTGTATACGATATGAATGTACCTTTATGCGATATGAACATACCTTTATACGATATGAACATACCTGTATACGATATGAACATACCTGAATACGATATGAACATACCTGAATACGATATGAACATACCTGAATACGATATGAACGTACCTGTATACAATATGAACATAATTTTATGCAATATGAACATACCTTTATACGATATGAACACACCTGTATACGATATGAACATACCTGAATACGATATGAACATACCTGAATACGATATGAACATACCTGTATACGATATGAGCATACCTTTATGCGATATGAACATACCTGTATACGATATGAACATACCTGTATACGATATGAACATACCGTTATACGATATGAACATACCTGATTACGATATGAACGTACCTGTATACGGTATTAACATACCTGTACACGATATGAACATACCTGAATACGATATGAACGTACCTGTATACGATATGAACATACTTGTATACGATATGAACATACCTTTATGCGATATGAACATACCTTTATACGATATGAACATACCTGTATACGATATGAACATACCTGAATACGATATGAACATACCTGTATACGATATGAATGTACCTTTATGCGATATGAACATACCTTTATACGATATGAACATACCTGTATACGATATGAACATACCTGAATACGATATGAACATACCTGAATACGATATGAACATACCTGAATACGATATGAACGTACCTGTATACGATATGAACATAATTTTATGCAATATGAACATACCTTTATACGATATGAACACACCTGTATACGATATGAACATACCTGAATACGATATGAACATACCTGAATACGATATGAACATACCTGTATACGATATGAGCATACCTTTATGCGATATGAACATACCTGTATACGATATGAACATACCTGTATACGATATGAACATACCTGTATACGATATGAACATACCTGATTACGATATGAACGTACCTGTATACGATATTAACATACCTGCACACGATATGAACATACCTGAATACGATATGAACATACCTGTATACGATATGAACATACTTGTATACGATATGAACATACCTTTATGCGATATGAACATACCTGTATACGATATGAACATACCTGTATACGATATGAGCATACCTGAATACGATATAAACAAACCTGAATACGATATGAACATGCCTGAATACGATATGAACATACCTGTATACGATATGAACATATCTGTTACGATATGAACATACCTGTATACGATATGAACATACATGAATACGATATGAACATACCTGTATACGATATGAACATACTTGTATACGATATGAACATACCTGTATACGATATGAGCATACCTGAATACGATATGAACAAACCTGAATACGATATGAACATACCTGAATACGATATGAACATACCTGTATACAATATGAACATACCTTTATGCGATATGAACATACCTGTATACGATATGAACATACGTTTATACGATATGAACATACCTTTATACGATATGAACATACCTTTATACGATATGAACATACCTGTATGCGATATGAACACACCTGTATACGATATGAACATACCTGTATACAATATGAACATACCTTTATACTATATGAACACACCTGTATACGATATGAACATACCTGTATACAATATGAACATACCTTTATACTATATGAACATACCTTTATACGATATTAACATACCTTTATGGGATATGAACATACCTTTATACGGTATGAACATACCGTATACGATATGAACATACCTGAATACGATATGAACGTACCTGTATACGATATGAACATACCTGTATACGATATAAACATACCTGTATACGATATGAACATACCTGTATACGATATTAACATACCTTTATGGGATATGGACATACCTGTATACGATATGAACATACCTTTATATGATATGAGCATAAATGTATACGATATGAACATACCTGTATATGATATTAACATACCTGATTACGATATGAACATATGAATTATTATGCGTAAACGTCTTCATACGATGCGCACTTTTTACGACTACCAAGCATTATCAGGAAGTAAAAGCTGTTTATCTCAGTTGTTATAGCGTCAAGTCAGAAATAGAAAACATTTTGACTTGAAGGTCCCTGGTTCAAGTCCAGGTGAAGCTATGTGCTGCTTAGTTAAACATGGAAACTTGTATGTGGACTGCATCAATAGCTAATCAATAATATATGCTGTATCACTTCAAATTACTCATTCTTTATGGATGTAATTTCTCATTAGCTAATTATATATCATCATCACTTAATAATACTGGAACAGTCAAATCATCTCTCATTTCCTGATTCAATGTCATATGTGTGCCTAGTATTTAACCTTAAAATTTATATAGTTTTAGTTAAAACCTTCTCTGTGAACATTCATCACTTCAGCCTACAGTCCCAATAACCCCGGAATTATGTAATAATGATGCTGAATCACTAATTAATATTATTGGATTTACAGACGAATCTGTTGGAAATCTATCAGTAGCAATAAATAATGGTTCATGTATATCAGATAATGAAAATCTGTTTAACTCAACACATACACAGTTAGTCACCTGTACGCCAATTAAACTCACATATACGTAATATAAAACATGACTTAACAATGTTGTAAACAAGAATATTCAACCACAGAAAATAACAGCTGTGGGACGTTGTTTAGAAAATGATTTTAGCCTTGAAAAGGTAACCGGTACTACTCAATAGGTGATTTTCCGTACAACTGCGAGATCTCGCGAGATGCATGAAACACGCGCGTCGAACGTCTGCCGCAAAAATCGAACGATTTGATTTTGAACTCGAATTTCTTTATTTCGTAGCGCACATCGACCGGCCGATTCGAATATCCTCACTTAATCGAAATTGCCCATCATCAAATGTGTACAGCACATTATTGACATCGAAATGTTCCCCAAAATATTTTCGCGTTTGTCGAATCCCACGCGATGTTTGACGCGACTACGACGCTATGACCTTTGTTTGTCCTGTTTTTACGTTCGATTTCACGCATAACGCGTGATTCTCGCAGTAAACGGAAAATGGTCTATTCGACGTTTCAGACATTGATTAGATATGATACATCAACATGTAACGCTTATGTCATCATCTGAGCTAAAATCAACAAATGGTTATTGATCATTAATGGGGCATATGGTGGTATAGCAAATTCTTGTCACCATGGTGCCTTCCTTGAAGGAATATATGAGACGAAGTCACGCACAGCTCTTTAGTAAGTCAAAGGGTGATGCCACCAAAATGCTATAAAAGACATTAACATCAAGAGAAGAGAGCTAACTATCAGAAAGTATTTTAATGGTTTGGAAATGGCTTCAATTAAAAATTCACAGGTATCAATTTGGTGAGGTTGCTGCAATTTCTGAAATAATTGATCTTTTATTTGTAAATGCTGATGAAGCCAAATCTGATTTATTGCGAGCAGCAACGTACACAACCTCTGATAAGCAACGAAGATTTCACAATAATTCTGTATTAATTTCACGTAATAGCCAATTGATAGTTGGAAGCAATGGTTTTGTGGATTTGGGTCGTGTTGTAACCAACAACCTATTAACATCACAGTGTGATCAAGTCGTACCACATTTTACAGAAGGCAATATCGATGATGATTGTGTTGAGGTTGCTGCTATCCCGTGCCCTGGTCAAATGACTGAACCCCATACAATAAATAATATTCCTCAGTTGTCTATAGTTAAGGTTGAAAATCAATTACATTTTTGGTGTGATGTTCTAGTTACTGACAAGAATGTTATTACTGGATGGTACACCCATGATGGTATGCAAAGGAATGGTCATGCCAAATTTATCGGGAACAAACAAAGCATGGTATATGTAGGGTGGTATATGAGCATGTAAGACAACATTACTGGAACATGTAGCCGATGGTGATACATTTAGTCTAACCAAGACACGACAATCTTTTCATTCTATTGATGTAAATTTCAACCCTTGCCATACTGAATCAAATAGAAAACAGACCATTGCATCTGGCACTTCAAATGGTGATATTAATTACAAAGGTCTACAAAAAGAGAAGATACTAGTGCAAGAACCTAAATTTATATGCAGCAAAACTGGATAAACTGGATGACTTAATATCAATGTGTCTATGTACTGAATGCAAACAACTATTATCAGCAATGAATATTGTTCCTGTAGGGGGATGTTGGAAGTTAATACGACACTTCATCATCTTGTATTCCCCAGAAACGCATGCAGGAACACTTGCAACAAACACTGCTATATGCGTGTAACACACTTGTTTCGTTGATTACAGATTTCCGATTATCTGTAATTAGCGAAACGAGCCATTTACTAATTAAAATATTGTTATTTTGGCAAATATTTTGTAAATATTGTGCGTATAAAACCCATTTTCTCTGTTTACAGTTTATTTTTTTTATTATGTTTGTCATCCCGTTTCGTTTCTTCGATTACAATAAGCCGGCCACAACTCGCTCAGACAACACGTTTGATATTGGTGACATGTGGGTTGAAGGCTCTATGGTATCGATTGAAAAGCGATTTCCTATGTATTTATCGTGATTATCTGGATCGTCATTAACTACATTACAAACGGAACCATGTAACGTAAATGTTTTACGTGCAATGCGGTCACCAAATGGCGCTTATTCACGAGAAGTTCCCAACGTTCGCTAAACCTCCCTGAGTGTCTTGAGTGTCGGAACACTGAATCCCGGCACTGAATACAGGAACCATTTACATTGAATTGCGGAACATAGGGATTTTAACCATAATTTATAAAATAATGAGTTAATACAGTTATAATTGATTCTGTATCTATTACTGTATTTGGATTGAATCTAGTGAATTCACTAGAAAAACACCAAAATTAGAACATCCAAATACACACAGAACAAACCCACAGGTACACAGCCGCTAAGTAGTTTACAAAATCATAGTCTCACCTTTGACCCAGGTGATGCGCGCCCTGAAACAAGCCACACATTTGTTTTTGCAGAGCATTTAAAGAGGGGGGGCAAGGGTTATTTTCGTTCAACGTAATTGCAATATTTTTTTGTTCGTACAACGTAAATAGAAAAAATAAATTCCGTAATTCTGTAATCACAGGCTGGACGTACAACGTAATCAATCAAATATTTTTTTCGTACACTGTAAAAATGTGTCATTTTTCTCGTACGTACAAAAATTCACATCCAAATAAAAAAATCGTAAAGAATAATCCAGGGAAATTACATTTTAGAAACTGTAAAACGACTAGATGACACAATTCACTACAAAATTGAATGTCAAGAAATAAAAGGCCCTCTAACCGAATGAGGAGCATTACGAGGGTAATATGCGCATGCGTCTCTTCACACGGCGCAGCAATGGCGGAGAATTTGAGTCGGAGAGCTCTTCGGACCATTCAATGTTCCATTTGTTAACACTGTAAACTGTAAAAACGTCTTTTTTTCTTCGTAAATTGTGAAAAGCCCTTTTTATTTCCCGTAAAACTGTACCAGCTACCCCCCTTGCCTCCCCTCTTTAAATTAACACGGGCTATGAGTGACATAAGACCTTTAACACTTTTCTGACCAATGAGTAACTTCCACACCCATACAGACTTTGTACTCGATTTTGTAATTTGTGCTACTAGATTTGTTCCTACATAACCTCCATTGTGTCAGAGCACGTTGTGCAGTACAGTGCTGAATTACCAAGCAAAAATGTCGTGGTAAGTTTAAAAAGTTAAGTCTGTCGATCACTATAATCTGTAATATACAGTACCCAGTGTGCAAAAATATCTCTTATAACAAATCACGGTGGTTAAAGTCGATTATATAGCCCATGAGTACGTGGCATGTATATGGTATATAACTAGGTCAGGAATGTGATGCAATTAGGTCAAACACAGATCTATAACATCAAATGTCGTTTATGTAATCGTTATCGTTTATAAGCTCATTCAAAGCATGGTTAAACGGGTGTAGCCAATCTTTAAAATATTGAATATTAGTTTCTTAACAGTGTATGCAATTCCTGTTTTTTTTTCAGTTCTGATATTAGTATCCGTCTAGCCACGCGTTCCGATATGACGCACATTAGTGACATGAGTGCTGCTCCAAATTGGAATTATTCAACAGACTACTTAAAAACTTTACATCGACTCAATCCTACAGGGTTTTTTGTTGCTGAAAAAACAAATGGGGAAATAGTGGG